AAAATTTTGCCCTGTAAGTGGCCAATGTCATGGCATTATGGGTAAGCTGCTGCTGGGGACGCCAGAGTCTTAAATCAGAGAACCGGTACCCATGCTGGCTTCTCCACTTCCTGATCCAGCTCCCTGCTAAGGTGCCTGGAAAAAGATGAAGGAGGGCCTAACAGAATAAAGATTCAGTATTTTATCTCTAGCATGCTAGAGATAAAAAAAGGTTGTCACTGATAGTTCTCAAGTTCCAACAATATGTCTTTACATTTCATACTTCTTTGTTATTTAGACTATTAGAAATGTCAGGTATTTTGGGAAAACCTCTACCAAGACTTTCACAAGGCTCTAACGAATGATAAGGACGTTTTCATAGAATGAATCTAAAGCTGGAAAGAGCACCCAGAGAAGATGCCAGCATTTCAGGTGGTAGCTCACCTCACTAAGCCACAGTGCTGATTCTATGAAAATAAAGGCTGTACTTTAAAAACAGATTTTCTCTGAAGTATCTCCTGTAATGTTTTTGTCTCACCATCTCCTGTTTTTTCTTTCCATTCCTCAAAATTCTAGCTGCTAGCATTGCTTGTATGATTGCTGCTATACCATCTTACAGGTTTCCTGAAATAGCCATGGCCATCTGTGATGTCTTTTACTGGAGCGTGTAGAGTTTCTGTTTGACACTTAATAAATGCTATATTCTATTGTTTATCATTTAACATTTATATGAAATATGTAAGTTATATGTACAAATAAATTTCAAAAAGCATGTGAAAATAGGATTAAAAGTTAAACTTATTTTGGTGTAAAATATTTTTTAAAGTGTTTACAGATTTTTTTTGTAATATGCTTCTTTCATGAACTCTTTTAGGGGAAAATATGCATGAACTAAAAAAATGTACATCAAAATAAACTAACCTTATAAATCCATTCCTATGAACTTTTTCAAGCATAGTTGGATTATTCCAAAACACCATAATTAAATTGAGCTCAATTCCTATCACCAAACCCCAGAACCCACAGATAACACACTGTAAGAAATACTCTGTCTTTAGTGCCTATGAAATCTTGCATGTATCAGATGATTAGAGCAAAATGATTTCTCTGATAGAGGGAAGGGTAAGAGCCCTAAATAGCTTATAAATGTTGGATGTTAATTGTTTCTCTAACTCTGGCCCACTAGATGGCAGGCTTTTTTATAGCAGACTCTGTGTGTTGAAGTACAGCCTGTATTTACCTGAACTCTGCAGATGAAGTGTTTAGGCAAGACCTGGGAAATGTCTTATATGTTGGTGAGATGATTCAAACACCGACTACTAGCTTAGATGAGAAATGAACATGCAACTGGTAGATAGGTGTCTGGGTTCTTTGCTTAGAGAAAGCTCCATAAAAGTTCTGAGGCTGCAGACACAGAAAGGGGCAGGCAAGCCCCAGTTCCAAGCTTCGATTTCCTCATCTTAAAATAGCCAAAACCAGTAACTACTTGACAGTACTATCATGAGATTACGGAGTTAGGTATTTAAAACTTTCAGTTTTACTCAATCCCAACACATTATCCACTAGTGGATCTGGTAAGCTTAATATCTGGATGCATGGGTGTTTGTGTTGAAATGCACTTTCAATTCTACAAATCAGCTTCAATCAGGCTGATGCATCTGTAAAGTATAAATGTACTTTAGCACACAGTGAAAAGAGCTTTGAAATATTTAAATTCTGTGTTAGAGTGCATAACAAGGTAAAAATACTTTAAGATTCAGCTAACACTACTGATGTCTTTAAACAAAAATCTTAGTTACAGGAAGCCTTTGTCAGGCCATCTGCACAGAGTGGATTTGATTACCTATATACATTCTGTGTGGTCAGAAAGTTAATGCTGAGCCTCAGCAGGGGAGAAAGAGCTCTGAAGAGTGAATTGACTCTCAGTGTGATTTATAATAAATGGAACCTTTTTCCAAGAAATTTTACCTGAGAGTTAAGAACTCCTTTGAGATTTCACCATCAACTCAGCATGGTGCTATTATTTTGTTATTGAGACACTTAAGCTTTTGTTTTTCCTACCCCTTATGGATGAATCAATGGTCTAAAATTAGAGTGGAGAGCAGCATCTCTTGAGTGCTGACCTGGGTTTAGTATTGAGTACTTCAATAACTGCTGACAGCTGCTGATCAGCTTGTATTGAAGACTGTACGCGCTCAGTCAATAGTTTCTGGGGAATGTTAATTAAAACACGTGACAACCTTTAATGAAATACATGAGTTTTTCAAAAATGATATCTATACACTTTACCTATAACCAGTGATATAGTATAATAAATATATTTTGAGATGTCTTCCAAGAGCATAATAATGTTTCCTGTCAGGAAACTAGTATCTCCTTATCATTACCATTTGGTCAGGTCTCCCAATAGCCATGTTTACATTGTGGGAGCTTCATATTCTCCCTGCCCTTGGTAGTGACTGAGTGTGAGATCCAGACCTGATTTCTAACCTTCAGTGGTCATATGTGATTGATTAGCACTAGACAGCTACCGGGCCTGGCTGTACAGGATTCCCCAACCTACAGAGCTGAATGAAGATGGAGATAGCCAGCCAGTTTCTACTGGAGACTAAAGCTGAGTGTGAAAATGTAGCAGCCCTAGTGTGGCCAAAGGAGAAGTCAAAAACTCCAGTTGATAGATGAAAAAGGAACAGGAACTTAAAATAGGACCAAACTGGGTCGAAATAAGAGATGGAACTCCTCATAGGCTTCTGGTATCACAGTCCAGACCTCTCCTAATGCCGACGGCACCTCTGTTCCTGGATTTATGAACATTTATTCATGTAACACTGTCAGTTATGTTTTCTTTACTAAAGAAAAGTCCAAAGTGCCTTTGCTATCTGTACTCAATAATACCGAATTAATTCACAAAATGTAGGTAAATGTCTAGGAAGACAAATGGTTCACAGCTGAATAATACTTTAAAAATGTTATATATGATGACATTATACATAGCATTGATATTTTACTGGATGCCAACAATATTATAGGTGCTTAGGAATATTTCCAGTGCTTATAAACACTTATTTCTTATTTCAGTACAGTCTAGTAGGACTGAATATATGACCCCCCTCTACAAAAAGAACTCCTAGTTATTTTGGCTGCTCATGGAGCTAGAATTCAAACCCTGAGACTGGCTATTGGTTTGGGAAGTCTTTTTCCTGTCCATGCAGAAATATTACAGACTGTGTCATAGGCTCCTCAGTGGACCTGCCAACAAACTTTAACTTCCTGCTTCGAACTTTTCATTTCAATGGATGAGTGAATGAATGAACAGACTTATTTTTACCAGACTTAATTATTTAACCTGTTTGTTTAGCTTGGAAACACTCAGAAAAACCATCCTTCTCCCAGCTTTTTCATACATTTTATATCTGTTCAATCCCCAAATCCCAACATGTCATTTTCTTTTTCTTTTTCCCAACATATCATTTTCACAGCTCACTAAGAATCTAATGTCTTTTCAGCTCCCTCAAAGCGTCACTTCTGTCAGTGGCAGAATTTTGTCTCTTTCCCCATACTGTGCTTGCCCCCATCCTTGTATCCATTCTCCATGATGTAGGCAGAATAACCTTTTTAAAATGTGAGGTTTGCTCTTTTTTGCCTCCTATTCCAGCATTTTTTTTCCCGCTCTAAGTGTGAATGACAGTCAAAGGCTATGGTTCTGCTTTGTCCATCATATCCTTTCTCATAGGGTATATTTCTCATGTAAGTTCTTTCAGTAATAATTTTAGCTATCAAAAACTATATAAAAACAAACATTGTGAAGACTATCTGATAGTAAAAGTCTGTATTTGGAAGACAACAACAGAGTGGCAATGGACAACAAAACTGAGGAACTAAAACATTGCGCAGAGACAAAAAAGTTGATTCTATCATCCCTCAAGTGGAAATCTGAACGCTCAGGCAAGAGTTGGCAGAAACAGACCATACCTCTGCTTTTTGACTTGTAGACTTGCTCCAGTAAGCTATGTTTTTCTTCTGATTGTACCATTGTAAAATTTCCTAAGGTTTTAAATACTGCTGCCTGACACATAAAAGAACTTATTTTTATGGTTAATTGTCTTCACTTACAATTGCTGGCCAATGCTTTATAATTTCCTTAAGAACTAATATACATGGAATTCTTCATGACAAGAAGAAACTACACTTGTTTCATTTTAGCATAAAAATTTGATTAAATATTAGTACATAAGAAATTAGCATTCAATTTGTAAATATGCGTGTGGGTTCTTAACTGAGAAGCATGGTAAAAATGCTGAGTCTGCTGACACAGAAAACAGCACCCAAGCCCCAATTCCAAGCTTTAGTTTCCACACCTACTAAAACAGTAAAACTGGTAACTAGTTGCTAGAGTAAAAAATCATCTACTCAGAAGTTTCAGAATGTAGCAAGAGAAATGGTTACAAGAACTATTACAGTAGGTAGCAGGTGGAATACTGATGACCTGGATTGAACGCCAAAGGAATTTCAGAAGCACAAAGAGATCGAGGGATAGAGTAAATGAAAGGACATGACCCTGCTTCTGCTCATCCTACGCTTTGTAGCATTCTTGTTAGCAATTCTTTCTCTTCCATGTGGTAAAAGAAAGATACATAAGTGAAAACCCCGCCACATACATGGCCTGATATTATTACCAAAATTCACAATATGATCTAATTTTGTCAACTATTTTTGTGTTCTGTGATAGGCTTTATTATGTCCCAGAATTATTTGAACACATGGCAGTTCATATAGTTATTTTCTGATTACATCTTCTCAGGATAAATCTGAACCATAAAGTATCAACCATTTAATTGGCATCAATAACAATGGCACCTCTACAATGAAAGCATTTCTCAAAATATTCTCATTTAAATGTGCTCCTTAAACTCTTGCAAATTGTTATATTATCAGCTATATCATGATATATGGATATTTTAAATGACCATGTTTACTAATCAATTTGCATCTTCTTTACAACCAATTTCTGGGGTACTTACATATTCTTCATAAGCCTCATGAGCTGGAGGGGGCGGTGCTCTATATCCTGGCACAGCTGGGGTCCCCCGAGCTCGAGGGGTAGGCACACCTCTTGCTACTGGGGGCACTGGAAGAGATCCACGTGTCACAGTGGTCCCACGAGGGGTGAGAACACCTCGTCCAGGTGGTGGTGGTGGAGGAATGGCACCCCCACGGCCCCTGTGAGAAACAAGTGATGAGACAAAGAGTTGAAGTAGTTATAAGTTCTCATCTCACAGCTCCCATAAAACAGAAGAAATCCAAATTTACTTCAGCATTTTTAAGCAGAGCTCATTTAAGTTGTAAAGAATTCTGACATTTATATAAATACACATTTTAGAAATACTGTGACTTAATTCTCATCATAACCATATAAAAAACCTTGATATTCTCCGTAACTTAAAAAAAAAAGCAAAATAGAAAACATTTTATAGATTCCTAGAAGTTTCAAATCACAGAGCATGAACTAATATATTGCTTACTGGACCATCTACGCTATGGAGTAAATATATAACTGTCTCTTCATGTTGGGAGGTCACTGATAGTGATGTGTGTTGGTGTCATTTAAGAAAAATAAGATCTGCTTTAACTTAAATAAAATGTGAAACTCTAAACACAGTGGTAGCATTTAGAGTATTCAACTAGTTTAAGTTTGAGGTCATTTGAAATCACAACTCATTGTCACTGATGTATCACCAGGGTCTGCATTAGCTTGTACAGTCCCCAACATAATATATTTCTTATGGTAACCACTGTTTAGCAGAATACATTAGCATTCTATAATCAAAGAACAGATTGAGTACTCAGTGCAGCAGTTCTTTACACAAAAGGAACCTGCAGTAAAAGTGTAAGATCAAATGCTTGCAGCCAACTTTAATGGTATTCTGAGGCTGTTAGAAAGTTTGAGTGTTTGTCTGAAATCTTTGGGCAAATGCATGGTTATTTCACTTTTTATTATGTCTGAAAGGTTGGCCTCTAGAAAGTACTGCTTTCAGCAGGAACACTAACACTTTGAGAAAAAAAAAATGATGATCATTGGTTGTCAACAATCATACTGTTTGGCTATATCCACACAGGAGGATGTAGGCTATGCTTTTTGCTATGAATAGAAGTCAGCTGGCTCTTTGTTGTTTGCAGAAACTGAGCTTTTAGAAGTGAAGAGGAAGAATGTCGGTAAAGCTTTTAAAAATTTTAAATAGATTACAGAGATGATGAATAGAGCAACTATCAGAGAGCTTATTGTGAACCAAATATAGATAGAACACTCAGAGTGTGAGAAGGTGAGACACAAAAGAACAAAAGGCCAGTGTTGCTTCTAGCACCATGTATATGTGACTCCAATATCCTGTGTTATAGTAATACAAAAGCGTATTTGTAAAAATTCCTTTTTTGAAAGATATAAAGACTGATTTTATTTTCTCTGGGTTTACACATGTCTGTTTCCTCAAAAACCAAACTTATGTACATGATTTAATCTTCTGTTTCTAGTTTCCTATTCAGTTTAGCATTTTAATACAAACATGTATATGTACATGTGGGGATGATAAATTATATGGTCATCCTCCTCTAAACTGTATTCATAACTCCTGGCTACTATGTCTTTACAGATATCATTACATTATCACAGAAATATTGTAACTACCTAAGCCTCAGGTGGACTTTATCCCCAACAATAAAATGTGTATTTCTAAATTTGTACATATTTCTCTTGCCCTGAAATTATATAACATTTTCACATGAAGTCCAGCTTCTCATTCCATTCTTTCATCAACTGACTCCAAAACACATCCCCATAACCTGGTCTCTTCCACCTAGTTATAATCCCCCTATGCTGTTTCCTTTCCTGTGAACATTAACCCATTCCTTCCTCCTCCAATTCACTTCAAACTTCATATCACCTAACTCACCTATTTCGGAATACTGCTCTTGGCTAAAGCCACTGCGCAGCAGTCTCCTGTACTTTTCTGTTTCTCCCATGTTTAATTCTTCTCAATCCTCCCATTACAGTAAGTCTGGTGCTTGTTTTTACCACTCAGTTGATCACCAGTAGCCTACTAACTATAAATCCCACTGGATGCTCTCACAGGTCCCAGCCACTGCTTCTCCCCATTATAAAGAAGACAGTGAGGCAATATCTAGACAATGTTTCTTAGACTTTAATGACTTTGTTTTTTTCCATGTCACCTCTTTCCACTGTCTCACTCCTTTATAAGCTTCTGCTTGTCGTCCCATCTTGGAATTTGGGTGTCACCAATTTCTTTCCTCAATCCCTTTTTTCCTCTGAAGGCTGTGTCTCGCAGCTATTGAAAATGATTATTATCTGTTTTCTTCCTAACATAGTGCTGTATTCAGGTTTATGTCACTTATATGAGAAGTTCCCTAATTTCTTTGCACATTAGATTAGTTAAATTACTTGAGGGATATTTCAAGAACCCCAAATTCCAAGTCAAACATTAATTGAATCATAACTTCCAGAGAGAGGGAACCACATTAAGTTGGGAGAATGGGCCACTTTGAGAACTACTGCCTTACAAACATCACCTAACTTAAACTCCTTCACACCAACTCTGGGTCATAATAGTAATCCACAAAACTAGTTAATTATAGGAACAAATATAGTTTTCACTTGACTTTTAACTTCACCTAGTTTTATTTGATGATAACATCAATCTCTCTCTGAACTTGTTCTAGAGAATTATCTTGGCCTTGGGCCACCATTCTTTTCCAATATCTAATGTATATTAATACCTACACACTATAATTTGTATTTTATATTTTTCTATGTACTCTCCAATTTTTCTAGACATTTCTGACAAACATTGGAATTATTTTCTCAAAGGCTCGCCTGCAAGGAGTCGGTATCTCCCATCTTATCTTTGCCTTCATTTGTCAATATCTCTGTCTCTGCCTCTTTGGCAATCACCATCTCTTCTACATCAGTCACAGTTATTAGTGAGTTGTCTTTCTTAGAAACCTGATTAGAAACAAATGCCTGGTTCGCAAGTTTAATGCCTTTTGTATTCACTTATATTATAGTAAGCAAAACCCTTCAAAATCTGCCCCTAATGTGTCATTATCCTCCATATGCTTAGATTGCAGTATGTACAGAGAATTCATGGATTGTCAATCTTCAACTTTGCAAAATAACTTATAAAATATAAATGTAAAGCTGTGTTCTTTGGTATACATTACTATTGGAGAATAACTTTGCATATATATATATATCGAAGTATAAATTCATTTAAGGAACATTTTCAGCAAATAATTATGATTTTTCAGTATTTTAGGCATCAGCTTTTAAGTGTAAGAATAGTTGAGTAACTTCATTTCAAAAATATGCATAAATTCAAAAATCACTAATAATGTAAATAGTATCCAGTAGCCCATATCTTAGAAAGATTTCTGATTGATGATTTTTTATTTTGAAGTTATTTTCCAAATAATTTTTCATTGAAGATACATTTGTTCTGTTTGAGGTAAAAAGTAACCAAGTTCTGTTCTATTTACTTTCATCATTTTTAATTTCATTAATAATATCAATAAAGTTTGGGATATGAAATTTGATTTTCAATGCCAGTTTTTTTTAGGTATTGTGTATGAGAGCTGTGTGATATAGGTACAGCCTTGAAGTTTTTCAAGTAATTTTCCTTTTAAGACGGTATTTTAAAAATCCTGACCATAATGCATTATTACGTATAAAATCGCTGAACTGATAGGGATTTTAGAATAGAGACAGATATTTTAAGATTGAGAAGCCATTTTCTCCCTTAGAGTACCTCAGTTTGATATTCAGCTCCTGCTTCTACTCAGCTTCCTGTTAATGCATACTCTGGTAGGCAGTGGAATGGTTCCAGTAACAGTTTCTGTAGCCCACGTAGCAAAACTGGAATGAATTCCCAGCTCCCAGGTTTAGCCTGACTCAGCCCGCACCACTGCAGGAGTGTGGGTAGGAACCAATAAGCAGGAGACCTCACTTTGTCTCTGCCTCTGATTTTTCTTTTTTTTCATTTAGAATAAAGTTCTACTGAAATTAAAGCCTTTCAGGCCCATCAAATACAGCAAACACTCTATTACATAAGGAATATCAATGGCAGAAATTTATTAATGTTATAATTTTATAATATCAAAAAGAAATGTATGAAAAATATTCTCACTTCAGAGAATATAGGATAGTTTAAACATGTGCCCACTTGAAGGCAAAAATATTCTTAGGTTGTACTATATAAAACCACTAAAATGTGTATTTGGAGACTAATGAAAGTAGAATTTCAAGTTATTGAATCCATGAGATTAAATACATTCAAAATGATTTGCAGTGATACCATTTCATACTCCTTCAGGCTAAGTTAGAAACATACAATCTGAAAGGACTGATCCAACTAAATACCTTTTTAATTGATTCTTGACAATAACTGAATGGACTTAAATAGCATTACACATTTATTTTTAAATTTTCAAATTGTAAGAAAAATAAAATATTTTCAATTGTTCTTTATTTACAGTTGAACTCCCAGAATTGTTATGTTTTCCTATTTTCCTTGGACATTTACAAATCTAAAATTGTTCTTTAATGTGAAACCTTTTGGAACGATTATATGATTTGTTTAAAATGATTCACTTATTATTTGACAGACGGTGTGATTTATCGGTGACTGCCTTACTCCGCACAGTCTCCCCAGCAGTCCCTGTCGGGCCAGCTTTAGAGACAGCAGCCAGAAGTTCAACCTAACTTGCCCCTATCGAGAGAGACCTGTGAAGCGATCAGTTACTTGAGGTAACACTGCTGCTTCCAAAAGTCTACATTAGCAGGAAGCTGGAATTGTGGGAAAAGCTGGAAAACCAACCCAGGCACTCCAATACAGGATATGGTCATCCCAGGAAGCTTCTGCATTGTTGCACCGATGGCATGTCCCTCTGAAATCTAATTATAAGTGGTGATTTTAAAAGAAGATTTATTTATTTTTTATTGAGAAGACAGATATACAGAGAGAAGGAGAGACAGAGAAAAAGATCTCCTATCTCCCAGTTGACTAATCAAATGGTTGCAATGACCAGAGCCAATCTGAAGCTGGGAGCCAGGAGCTTCTTCTGGATCTCCCATGTAGGTGCAGGGTCGCAATGTTTTGGATCATCCTCTGTTTTCCCAGGCCACAGGCAGGGAACTGGATGGGAAATGGAGCAACCATGACATGAACCAGTACCCATATGGGAACCTAGAGTGTATAAGGTAAGGATCTAGCCACTGAGACATCACACTGGGCCCCCAAATAGTGATATTTTGACAGCTGTCTTTAAAAACATTTTGGGTATGGCTTCAGGAACAAAATGAATCTGCAAATTATCCTTGTATCTTTTATGATAATTTCTATATCATGTGACAATGTTTTAGATGTATTTTAGAGATTTCAAAGCCGATTATAATAGGGTGAATCCTGAATCACTTTCTATGTAAAGGCTATGAAAAATTATTTTTTTTGCTTTATTGCTCTGCAAATAGATGCTGTCTGCTGATAGCATGACAAGCCTAGAACACAACATATAAATTCTAACAGAGTTTTCAATTTCCTTGCAATCTGAAGATAATCAAATAAAATTTTCTGTCACCACCATAGACTGGAAAAATCAGATGAGTCTGGATTTGAAATATCCTTATCAGGTATGAAGAAATGTTCTTCTAGATTTTTGGAATGAAGTCTTCTCTCTATATGAATCAATCAATCAATCACCTGTCTATCATCTGTCTGTCTCTTCCATCATACTCAACCTACTTTCTATGTGGTAAGACAGTATAAATTCAAACAGTATTCTAGACAAAGACAAGCTTTATTGTTTTTTTTTTTTCTTGCAAGGTCATACCTATTCAAAGAAACATGCTGTTATATTATCTGTGATCCTCAATTGTGGGAACAGATCAAGAAAACAGGAATCTCAAGATTTCTGCCTCAATTTTCAAGGATGCTGTTAAAAGTGTTCAAGCTGAATTCTGAAATTGGATTATTATTCTGTATTTCAGTATGGTTTCTGTACCTGAGTTTCTCAATGATAAATCACAGATATTTCCAAGAATGAACTTGATGAGTTAACATACATGATATTCATACATGATATATAAACATCCTTAGTTTGCATTTTTGTTGCAATGGCGATGATTGTAACTGATGCTGTCTATTCTAACCATGACTTGTAGTATGAAATCAAAGACCTGCCAACATGCTTTATCTAAAAAAAAAAAACCCCAAAAAACAAAACAAACAAACAAACAAACAAAAAAAGCTAATGTACCTTGAAGGAGTTGTGGGAGCTATTCTGATTCCTCTGCCTCTAATACCTCTACCACGACCAGACTCTTCAGAGCCATTCAAATAAGATAATTCTCGCAGTTGTTCCTGACGAATTTCATCATTGTAGTCCTAGAAGACAAAAATATGATCAAATGAGTTAATATGGGACACAAGGACAATAATATAAAATAGCTATACTTCAATGTTTTACTTTTAAAAGTTGATTTTGGTTTATTTGAAAGGTGTGATGGAGGTAGGTATGATAGAGAGAGAGAGAGAGAGTGATTGATCTATATTCCATGCCCAAGCAAAGACCCAAGAATGCATTCTAGATCTGCATGAATGGTAAGCACCAAGATAGTCAAGCCATCGTCTGGAAAACCCAAGGGTTCCAATTAGCAAGAGGCAGGCAAACAAGCAGAGGTGAGACTCCATTATGGACATACCAATGCACAATGCAAGTATGCTAGGCAATGGCTTGAAAATGCCTGACCCTAAACCCCTTTTTTATAAAGAGAAAATCAAGGTTTGTTTTTCTCTAAAGATTTGTTTAATTTCATTTGAGAGACAGATTCACAGGGAGAAGGAGAGATACACAGAGAGATCTTCTACCTGCTGTTTCACTCTTCAGATGGCCATAACAGCCAGAACTGAAGGCTGGTGTCCGTAATTTCTTTGGTTTCCCTCACAGAAGAGAGAACCAAAGGGCATGGGCCATCCTCTGCTTCTTTCACAGGCCATAAAGCAGGGAGCTGGATGGGAAGTGAAGCAGCCAGTCACAAACAGCCACATGGCATGCTGGCGGAATAGGCCAGGTATTAGAACACTAAGTAACTGCAGTATTCTTTAAGTTGCTGTTATTGCTGTTTTAAACCAAGATATATTCAGCAAATGATCAGATTAGACTGGCTCTGTTTATATGTCATTTAATGTGTTGCCACAGAAGAGTAGAAAATTAGAAAAAAAAAGAGAATTAAGAATGTGCCAGTTATAATTGTTAATAAGATCACTGAAAAATTCACTTGGATGAATATGCATATGTGGATATATGAAAAGCTGTGTGCTATCCAAATAGCTTAAGATGTAGCAACTGAAAAGAAGCCAATCTAAATCCTGGAGCAGTCCTGATTACATGGTCCACCTACCAAAACTGCAAAAATGTGCAATCCAACTTCATGTGTAATGTTAACACAAGGAGGTTCCTAAGTTCCATAGCTTCATGCTTAAAATCAAAGCCACATGGAAGGCAAATTCACAATTCCATGAAGAGATTCAGTCTACAGGAAAGGGACTGACTTTTATCTCCATCAGTAAGGAAAAGTATCAGTCATTGCAAGAGCATTGAAATATGGGTTTGATTCATTTTAGATGAAACTGCCTGGTCTGTTGTTATGGGAGGCAATGTGGTAATTTGCAGTTTGTGATACTGCCATCCCATTTAAGAATACAAGCTTGAGTCTGGCTCCTTCACCTTAGATCCAGCTTCCCTCTAATGCACCTGGAAAGGCAGTGGAAGGTGACCCAAGTACTAGGGCCACTGTCACTTTTGAGGGAGACTTTGATGGAGTCCCAAGCTCCTGACTTTGACCTGGCTGGCATCTGAGTGTTGCAGTCATTTGGGGAGTGAATCAATAGATGAAAGCCTCTGTTGCTCCCTTTCTGTATTTTTCTGCTTTTCAAACAAAACATTAAGTATATCTTTAAAAAATGATGAGGCTATATTCAAAAATCAAGTACTAGTATTACCTGCATTTGCTTTTAATATCACATGTACACACACACACACAACTGCATCAACCAAATATCAAAACACATAATAGGCACAAACACATTCATATACATGCTAGCACTGTACATAGTCATTATATTAATGCACATACATGATCTAGCATATGCATCCACTACACAGAGTGTACATTTACCATACACAGTAGCACACTGTACTGTCTACACACACATGAATACCTGGTTGAATAGTTCAGTATTTATGCTAAACGAACAATCTGCTTTAATTATCTTCTCTAAAAAAATGTTTAGGTAAAAATCAATCCAGTGGATGTTCTCATGATAAAATTGGTCCCAGGAATTGAGGCTATATTTGTAGAGGAGTGGGAGTCAGTAAAAATGATGTTTGAGGCCCGCCTGTGGAGCTAACGTTAAACATATCATCAGCATGACTAGATACCCATTTGTTTGTGCATGCATGTGTTGTAGTGATGCAAATTATGGTTGTGGACAACCACACATACACCTGCACAGAAGATTTCAGTGATGCATCCTGCCTACAAGGATCGTAATACACAGCTTCAGCGAATGCTCCAAAAACTGCATTGGTTACAAGCGAAAGTGCTGGTCACCCTGAAGCGTTTATGTTCTTACTTTTAACATGTTGTGTTCATGTTTATCCTCTTCTGCACCTGATTATAGTGATGATAGGTTCAACACAGCTGACAGAAAAAACCTTACAGTAGAAAATTATAGTTTCTAACAAATTATGTATTATTCAATTTCCAACTTCTAATTTTGACATTTACACCAACTAAACTGAAGAGATATAAAATGCATTTTTTAATTTTATTAGGTTCAGGGAATGTAGTGAATTGTTACTCTCCTGTGAACTGAACAGCTACTACCAAAATCAAACACTGGTCCTATAATTTTCCCACATTTCAGAACAAATTTTAAAGAAGACCTTTGTAGTTTCTTCTCTAAGAACAAACAGCTTTGGACATTCAGAATCTTCATGACTTACAAAAGAGATATGTCACCACTGTTGACACTCCTATGGTTTGAGACCAAAATTAACAACTTGCAGATTAATTTAATGTATGTAAAAGCAAAACTAGAAGATAAATTTTCATGCCAAAAAATCAGAAAGCTTAAAATGTGGTTGGAGCCTTACTTCTATCATAATCACAAAGAAGATAAGATGAACAAACTAGCAGATGAAGAGGAGGAAGTAACACCCTCCTCATTGTAATGGGAAAAGTCTCCACATTTTAGGGTTCCCTGTATCCACATCCTTAGATACTTCCCACCAAACAGCCTGAATCTGACATTGAAAATATGATTTGCTCTAGTTAACATAACAATAAAAGTGACAGAGACTAAAACCGCTTGCATATAAAATTTTAATCCTTCTTGACAGTGGAAACCCTCACACCACCAGGTAAAGAAGCACAGGTTAGCTTTTTTGGAGGTTGAGATATCACATGCAGAGAAGTTTTAACCATCCTTGCCTTCCCAATTGAGTCTCCAGACTCCTGAGTAAGGCTATTCTAGACTATCCAGTTTCAGTTAAGCTGAGAGATAACAGAGAGAGAACAGAAAAAAACACCTCACCCAACCAAGAACAAGTAGAAATTCATAATAAACTGATACTTCAAGTATTAAGTGTTGGGATACTTTGCGCAAAAGCAAACAAGTTCAGAGAGGACCAGTCAACGTAGAACATGAGAGGTGATTGGTAGTATTTTATAACACCTTCCAGAGGAAGGGTTGGGGGGCTCAAATGTGATCAATATATTTCTTACAGAAATTGTAATCTTTGCTTAAGATTAAAGGGAGAGTGTCCATTTAAGTATCTTTACATATACTATGTACTCATTCAACGCGCTGCAGAGGAATGCAGCTCCTAGGAAGAAATTTGTTAACATGGAGGGAGTCCCCCATTTTATTAATGAGTATTTGACAATGAGGCTAAGCTAAGCCTTAATGTGGAAAAACACCATTATTATGCAATCAAGTGTCTTATGAGCTTACCTAGAGACGCTGTTATAGGAAACGAAAAATCACTGTGGATTGTGTTAGCCAAGAGAATGTAGATAACTACAGGTGTTTGTGAATAATTTTTATAACACTTCACTTACGCAAATATGAAAGACTCATATGGGTAGGCGAGAATAATTCCTACATTCAAATAATTTGGATGGTAGAAACATTGGCACCAACAAAATGCCTAATATCTCTGCATGTGGACCATGAAAGATGGAACACGGGTAGTCACAAGTACTTTGAGTGTTCTAGTAGGAAGCCATCTCAATTTTTACTTTATTTCTCAATACATTCCTGAAAATGTTTCTTGTTTTGTTACTCAATCTGTTTAAGAATTTATCATTTAAAATAAGATATTACCAATATTCACGTACTTTTTTGCACCATGACAAACTATTTTTTTTAAAGATTTATGTACTTATTTGAAGGCCAGACTTACAGAGAGAGGGAGAGACAGAAAGACCTTTAGTCCTCTGGATTACTCTCTAAGTGGCCACAACAGCCAGTGCAGAGCTAGGTTGAAACTAGGAATCAGAAGCTTCTAGAATCTACTTCTCCGATATGGCATGCTGCGGCCCAACCACTTTGATCATCTTCCAATGCTTTTCACAGGCCGTTAGCATGGAGTTACCTCAGGAGTAAGCTCCGACTTGGAGTGGCACCGCGTGGAATACCACAGTGGGACAGAGTGGCTTTACTTACCACACCACAGTGTTGACCCTTCACAATATTTTTACTGACTTCTTCATTCAGGGTAAGACAATTTTACCCTATGAAACAATTTCCATAAAATTCACCAGTACTCCTTTTCCCCTCTTCGACAGGGCCCTCCCACTGTGATGACATATGGTGTAGACAGCGTACACAAAACTCAGAACAGACAGATGCTGGGGTATTCCAAGAGAGGACTGAAACTCACCATCCAGATATTTAATGTATATGCATAACTGAACAGTTACATACACACGTCCATCTGTTGTGATGGCATTTTGCCCAAATACAAATTGAGATGATTATTTAACTTGCGTTTAAATACCATATTGTGACAGGTGTAGATAGGCTACCTGGGGGTGCAGTGAGAGACCTTTTCCTGCCAAATTCCCTCTTCTGAGACTCTTATGATCACTCACAGTCCCCAGTAAAAATATGATTCTAATGGGGGCAACATGAGAAAATATACTGGGACTTGTGAACATCAAAACCTTAAAAGTGTAAATGAAATGTTGTCTGTGACCCTTCAGGGCTATGCCAAGACGACGTGGGATTTTCTGAGCTCCTGCAGTTAGGTTAAGATGCTGTAATCAGAGCAGTAAACAAGAAGGTATAGAAGTTCTTGACGCATGTGACTGTATTAG